AAAGAGAGGAGACAGAAGAAGTTCTGATTTGAGGAACATGTTTCTGAAGATTGTTTTGCCAGTAGAATGTTGGAGGCAGGTTGATTTTGCTCTGCTGTAATATTCCAGGTACATAAAAAATCCTAGGTCAACTGAATAGAACCTGTAAATCCTTTTAAACCCAGTGGTTTGTATAAAGATGATGGCGGTTGGTCTGAGGACAGCGATTGTCAGAAGTGTCAGGTACCACCTGGAGGAAGCAGTCTTCCAGCCTCAATACCCCGTTAGAAGGTTAAGGGAGTGAGGACTTCTGGCATCGACATCCCTGGAGGTCAGCAGGAGGATCAAAACCAACCATTTCTTTCTTGAGACGGTGAGAGGAATCTTTTGTCGGCACAGTTTAAAGTAAATTTTAAAAACTAAATTACAAAACAACAGATTGTTAACAGCTTTAAAGATTATTAGAAATCAAATACTGGAATATTAGCTCAAACAAAGTCCTCTTCTTTTCCATAAAATTATTAAATAAATAAATGTAATCTAGAAAAAAATAGCTAAATTAAAGATTAATAGGTTAATTATTTTAATGCACTAAAATGAGTACAAAACTAAAGAATATACATACAAAATAAAAGATTATTTTTCTTTTAGGGACACGAAAGGCAATTCTGTTTTTTTCCGCCTGTGAACCAAAAGACCTTGCCTCTCTAAGAGTGAGAGGAAGGTTGTAGGTGCCACCAGAAGGTACTTCATTTTACTGAGACGTTGGTAATCTAGAGTGGGATCCCCCCAGTTATCCAGGTTGGCACCAGAGGATTGGTGTGTATCGGGCAGAGTTAAATTGCATATCGGGCAGAGTTAAATTACCTGTAGATAATGGGAAAGGTTTTGCAGTTCTAGGGCAGTAGAACAAAAGGCAAGGTTCTGGGGAATTGTCAACTGCCCAAGGAGACATTTTTGATCAAATGCTAACAGCTTTAAAGATAATTAAAACTCAAATGCTGGAAAATTAGCTCAAAAAAAGTCCTCTTCTCCATAAAAAAAAAAAAATAAATAAATAAATAAATGTAATCTAACAAAAACTTCCAACTGTTTTTAATATTCTTTTTTTGTTTCTGCATTTTTTATTTTATTTTATTTTCATTTATTTTTTTTATTTTAATTTTTTCCTACTTGCTTTGATTCTGTTTTATCTTCCTGTGTTTTAATCATGTAAAGCACTTTGCATTGTCTTTGTACTGAATTGTGCTATACAAATAAATTTGCCTTGCCTTGCCTAATTAAGGTTAAACTGTAAAATAAGGACAGTTTCTAGTTTATATATGTAATTAAACCTCTGCTTAAGAAACTGTCTCTTGACCCAGATGACTTGGTCAATTATAGACCTATATCCAATCTT